CAAGGCAGTACGTCATCTCGAAAATCTGAAGATCCGATGAGATGGTTTTTAAGACTAACGGGGCAAGAAAATTCATCAGAATCGAAACAGAAACCTACTTCCATCGCAGGTGAAATAGCCTTATACAGTAGTATGGCACAGAAAAAAAATGCTATTGCGTTAAAATCGGAACCGCTAAGCTTCTGGTCGAAACACGGAGACGAATTACCATTACTTAAAGAATTAGCATCGAAATACTTAACAACTCTTGGAACCAGTGTTCCCTCAGAATCTGCGTTTTCGGTTGCCGGTTTTGTTGGAAGAAAAGAGAGCGCTCGTTTGACAGCAAAAAATCTCTCATATTTAGTGTTTCTTAAAGATAAGATTTAATAGTTTCTCGTTTTTTTAATTTTATTGTTAATTTTGACAAGCCGATAAAAGGCGATTATGTTTTCCTTCGATCCGGGAGACATTGCTTTGTGTGAGGACTTAAAAAAGCTTAAAAAAACCCTCTTTCACTATTATCGTTACTGGTGAGTTGGTTCGCCAACTGATTTCGGTAGAAGAGAGGATTCAAAAACAATAAAAACATTTTAGAAAACAAAAAAAGCACAAGGTTTAAAAACGCCTCTTTGCTAAGGACAAAGTCTCTCCCTTCCTCGACAGCCTAATTGACGTTTGTAAATCTATTTCATTAATTTAATTGGTGTGATGTGGTCAGGCTATCAAGTTTCAACGCATCCCAAAGTCGTGCAGTTCATCCTCCACTCACCCATAACTCCTCATTGCAATAAAAATGCAAGCTTCAGACTTACCAAAACCGTTTTCTCTTGAAAACTTTACCATGTTTTCCATCTGCTACACACTTATTATAATCAATTACCTACAATCAAAGACAGCGTCTTTACATTTCTTACCTATCGCAGAAGAGCTGATGTTTCAATGCACTTACATAACATATGAAACACTATAGCATACGATAGCAGTTAATGAGAGACAATCAAAGACTAGAGATTTAATTTCAACATTATTGCAGATAAGTTATGCTGGTCATCGTCTACTTCCACAACGTTCAACTTGATCGAAATCTAATCCGTTAACATACGATCAATGGTGTCATTTTGTATTATGGTTCTTAAGGCGAACGTGCACGGGCGAAAGAACTTGCTATTACTTGTCACTACCATTGACTTATAGTTTTAGAAAAAATTTAATAGCACATATAGTTTAACTTGAAAGACGGTCGATTTACGTAATCTTACATTGGCGAAAGTGCATGCTCCGCCAAATTACAAAGTCACTACTGCACTTTTCCTTGACCACTTAAAATCGAAATTTTTTCTTTTACGCCGAAATGTATCAGCATTTATTTTTGATTGAAATGACACGCATCGTTTGTGTCAACTGTTATAACAGGTGCCTGTTTCTGTTGTGAACTGTTACTGTTACGAACTGTTTCTGTTAACAGCAACAGGTGCATGCCTAGCTCTAATTTGCAAACGTTCTTTGTTTGATTGCCACCATGCTAATGGACAGGATTCGCGTGGAATAACTGGTTCACTCAAATACTTGGTCAGTTCATCTGAAACGTTGTTGCTATTTGTTTGATTTGCACTATCATAATCCTCCCATAACGAATCATCATCTTTTGCCTTTTGAGTCGTAGTTTGAACAGGGCAAATGCTGCTGGAAATATTCATAAATTCCAACTGTAATGCAGTTTCTGCATTATTCTTCAAATCGCCCGCCAGAAATACAAAACATCTAAGTGTTTGATATGTCTCCTGCATCAAAATAGTTCACTATACCTTGTTGTCGGCTAACCATTTCAATAATTTTGGACTTGAATATAACGTGTGGAGGATAAAAATGAAAAGGATTTAAAGCGCGGATCAAGGACTGTTGCCAATAATACTAATTTATTTGTGAACAATATTTGGCATCTTTTAGTGTAATCATCATAAATTGCATCTAAGACAGACGTTATAATTGGTTCATTGCTACTACGTTCAGAAATTCTTTTTAATAATTGTAATGACAATGGAAGCAAAAGTGACATTGTTAAATTATTAGCATTTGATAATTCCTAAACATATGCATAGATATGGCTAATGCCGACAAGGTCATCTTATCAACGACTCTTTGATTAGAGATGAGATGAGTGACTAACGTTATATTTTTCCGTTCTGTGTGAGTAACGTCAGACGAGAATTCTTTTCTTTTCTATAACGTTATCCATGTATAGTAGTGTTTCATTTAGACGAAATGAGAATGAACAACGAAACTTTCACTTTCATTCATTTCATATATCTGTTTTCTTTTCTGTCTGTCTGTCCGTTAGTCGTTTAGAAAAAATCGTGAAAGTGTGAAAGGTGTATGCAAAGAAGAAGTCACAAACTCAAATAGCTTGCTGCAGAGTATAGCGCGTCTGTTTTAGAATTATTTGCCTACCTTGAGTCCTTTTTCGTTCATATTCTACAACATTTATATGTGTTCAAAATCTAAATTTTAACATAAGTAAAACATTTCTGACGTATGTACAACTGTTGTGATAAATATCGAAGCACTAGTTACTTCTCCAAAAGAGAGGCACGCTGAATTACATCTGATTAAGAATAGTGGCAAACAAAGTAATAATAAGATCACTGTTTACACTGAGAAAAGAGGCATTACTTGAGCGAGGAGATCAATGAGAACGGCTTTACTGCTTAATCTTTGAATTGGTAGTTTTTGTTCAAAAAAATAATATCATTGGCACATTCAGGCGATAATCGTGAACGTCGATCACCCGCGATGTACCCACTTAGAGAAAAAACACGTTCGGATGGCGTGCTTGTCGCTGGAACACAAAGATACTTGCGTGCTATTTTTGCAATGTTAGAATATCGTTCCTTGTTTTCACGCCACCATACAAGTGCACATTTGTTTTCACGAATTTCCTGTTCGCTGAGATACAATGTGTGAAGTCGTGTTCAAACAGATTGAGTACTGCTGTTAGAAACGGCAGAACAAGCGAGACAGTTGATGTCGTGGCAGATGAAACATTGCGAGTGATTTCTTCCAACGGATCGAATAATTTCAGAAGTTATTTCAACAGGGAGAAATTAATGCCCGTTAAATCGAGAAAACTGTATTGGAAAAAAGCGCTTTAAACAGGTCAAAAAAGTCAATCGATTAGTTTCATTTCCCTTCTAATACCGTCTCATCTACAACACTCACTCCTTTTCCTGAAACCCAGCAGTAGACATTATTCAACAGATCTTCATGTTTGTATCAGGAGAAGTAGCTGACGGTTTGAAACAATAAAGTAAAATAATTACTTGTGATGATACTTGGATCTTTAAATCGATTCAAGAAATCTTGGTTCGTGAAGCACATAGATAATGCTGGTTCCTCTTCGACAAAACGTTGTAACATATAAAAGGTGCTGTTCCAGCGCGTTTCAACGTCTTGTATTAAATTTCGACTGCTGAGACCGATTGATTGTTGAGCATCTCTTAGATTGTCCTTAGCTTTATAACTACGTTGAATGTGGCAAACTGTTTTCTCAACGTTTTTTATTTGTGTTTTGATATCATGAATATCTGACCCAACTTTTACTATCGTTTGTATCAAATGTGCAAAACAACCGAGCCAGCCGAGATTCAGACTTTTTCCGACCTTGACCATTGCTGATGTATTGTCTGTCACGACACATACAATCAAATCAAGAATCTCCCAACTGATCAGCACCTTTTGAATTCGTTCACGTATTTTATCAGAGTTGTGAGTATCATGATAATCTAAAGTCTCGAGAACACGATTGTGTAAAATAAAATTTTTATCAAGAAACTGCGCTGTCACCGTGATAAAATTCAATATTGCATCCGATGTCCACATATCGCTCGTTATTGACAAATATTGTGCTTCTTTTAACAGTTCGTAACTTAGTGCTAACTTCTTCATATAGACGTCTAATCACATTATCACGGAAATAATTTCTTGTTGGTATTACGTAAGCCGGTTCAATTAGTTTCACCAACTTTCGCAAAGTCTTTGAAGA